CGTGCCACGTCATCTTTCCATCAGCCACGTGGACAACGTTACTAACGGTTTTGATCCAGTGGTCAACGGCGTGGGACGGTTTAAAGTTGAGTGGCCAATGAGATAAGTTTTAAAGGTGAGTGGGTAAACCGTGACATGTATGAAAGTTCAGTGGCTAATGAAACAATTAACTCGATTTTGGTGGTTTTTAATTTTTGGTTTGAGTGTTGGGAGGGGTTTGGGAATAAAATGAACAGTATTTTCATTTTATTTTTTAATTTAATTCTCTTATTTTAATTTTTTCGTATTTGTCCTTTAAAAATTGGTCAACGTTTGGTCAGACTTTTGATTTTTGGTCAATTAACAGTCAAACCAGCAATTTTCATCTATTTGGACATAAGACGCAAATTTTTGAAAGATTTGAAACCGTGAGTGCTACAAATTAATGTTCTGATCAAATCCGCATAAAAGCGAAAGATTTGGTACCGTTGGCAGCAATTTTCCCTACAATCTTTTCAATCAAGTGGAGCATAAAACACCGAAACTCGCCTACCCAATTCATAAAACCCAACTTGGCCACATTTGACAATCATTATTTGAAAAAAATAATATTTTGAATATTAATTTTTAGAAAAATGTGTAGCTAAAAAGTAGAAAAAAGTTTTGAATTTAAGTGTAGAATATTTTACCGAGTGAATATGTAATTGAAATAAATATATACAGAAAAAGTGTTTTCAAATAATGATTATCAAATATGAACTTGGATTCATTAAGCCCTTGTTTGGCTCAATCATTTGAAATTTTAATGGTTGGAATATATTTTTTTTTTTTTGAAAAATGTAGTTAAAAGAGAAAAAAAGTTTTGAAATTACTCGTAATAAGATTTCATTAAAAAATTTGCAATTGATAAAAAGATAGAGAGAACAATGAATTATAATTTTAACGGGGACAAACAAGGACTAAATATGTTCCAATGTTTTACGAGGGATAATGGGCTAACCAATTAATCTAGTTGTACAAGATTGATTTACAAATTTTGTTGACAAAATGAGTATAACAAGATCTACGCAA